AGTCTTTTTCTATTTGTACTGTTGTAACTTTAACCTTTAATATGCTGACTGAGGCCTGCAAAGTCTGAGATGCAGCTCTTCTACTTTTTTAGAGGTAGCAGCACATGGCTGCTACTTACCCTCCTAATGTTTATGGAAACAGTAAGAGTGTTCTTAATATTCTGCACTGAGTCGTGTAAAAAACATTAATGTTTGCCTTTTTAATTGCACCAACTGTTTTCAGATCCTTCTGCAGAGCTCCTAATGAACATGAGTCGCTCTCGGCGCCTCATCGTACTGCTCTCTTATGCTTACCTTGAACAGGACTGGTGTTCCAGTAACTTCAGGTAGGACGGAATACACAGAAATATCACTATTTAAACTTTGCTTTATAAATAAAAATGATATTGTATTTATATAGCAAACAGCCAAGTTATGAAAGTGTGAAAGCAAATGTAATAATTTGTGTATTATTACATCGTACCACTTGAGGGCAGAATTGCTCCAATATGCAGTGTACCTATTTTTAACTGGAGCTCTGTGTATTTTTTAGACAAGGCCTCCTGCACTTGTTGGAGTTGTGTCAGCAGCCCATCTTCATCATGTTGGATGGTCAGTATAAGCGCATGAGGCCAGAGGTCAAACAGCAGCTTAGTGAGCACCAGCACTGCCTCACCATACTTACCTGGAGACACAACTCTGTGGTAATACTCCAGCCATATGTTGTTTCCTTGCTAATATGATGGATAGTTTCGACTAACATTATCCGAAGGGCACTGTGGGTGTGGTAGATTTGACTGGTTGTCATGATGTTTAGGTTTAAAATGTGGGGAATTTTAATGATTGGTTTGCATTTGTACATGCCATTACATTTTCAAACGTAGCACCGCCCACTTCAAACCAGGGAAAACCAGGAACAGGAGACAATAACAGAGTAACAGTGCAGATAGAAATCTGTCAGTTACAAGTCAGAGGATTTTTGTGTTCTTCTATGTTCTCAAAGGTTTATTGGAAGGTTCAAGGCTAGAATAATAATACTGATAAAATTAGTGTTTATTTTACAGAAGTTTTGAGAAACCCCCCCCTCATAAAAGTCTTTCATAAAAGTTGAAACATCTTTGTTTTCTCTTTGCTATCATGCATTATTGATGTCAAAAATGAGCAGCTTTATCAATTCAAAATTAAATTAAAACTATAGCATTGCACTTAAGAAGGTTCGCTTGACTTTGTAGCAGCTTGCTGGGACGAATGTTATTTGGTGTCTTTGTGCTTGTGTTTGCACAGACGCCTTCATCTGTCTTCTGGAAAGAGCTAGCTTTAGCAATGCCTCGCAGTGTTGTCTTCCACAAGGAGTCTGCCGGTGACCCTCAGACGTTGCTAGAGGATGACAAAGACCCGATGCTGACCCTTCAGCCGGACTACCTGGACTGCCGTTCAGATACGGACCCTGCCGGTGATCTGGGTAAGAGGTGCAGTCTAGATTTTGTGTGAGAAACACACATGAAAATGTTTAAATTTTAATATCTGGAAAAAATACTGAGGCAAGCATTCACATGTTTAACAAGCACCTGTTAATGACTTTGATCCAGTAATGCAAATCATCAACTATTCAGCAGTTCTTGTTCTTGTTGTCACAAGAGTGCAACATAAAATGTTCCAGCCTTCATACAAGTCTCAACCTGAAAGACTTAAAAAGAAAAAAAAAAAAATATGTCAGAGTCGAAACCCTCTTCATTTCACTTAGTTAGTGCCCACTTTGAATAAACAAATACTGACTAAGCTATAGTTAATACTTAACTTCATAACTAAGGCATCATATCACAATGGTCTTTCACATATTTACTTTTCATTTCGCTATTGATGAGAATGCTTTCATTTCGTTCTTAAGAGTTAAAAACTGTTCATTAGTTTGTTTTCTTCCATGAAGTTAGATGCAAGAATTAAAACTATTTACAAAGCGCTGCAGTCAAATGATGGTGGGCTTGGCTTGGCTTAGGTTAGTTTAGCTTTGTGATGGCATAAACAACTTGGCTGGGTCTGTCCAAAGGTAAAGAGTAATAAACACACTTGTCCTAGGTCTGGATTTATGAGTTTTCAAAAAGCCGCTACACTTAGCCACAAAGAGCTGAGCATACAATTGCTCATGTTGAAGCTTTAGTGCTGGTGAGCTTTTCAAGTGATAGTAACTTTGGACAGAGCCCGGCAGACAGCACCCATTTTAAGTCTTTATTTATAAAAAATCAAAGCAATAGTTTCCTTTTACTTTGCAGTAAAAATGTAAAAAAAAAAATAAAAAATTTATTTGTACACTCAGAAAAAATCACCACACAATTTAATCAATACAAACCAAAGAAGGGGAAAGTGACATTTTGCATCGCTCTCCTCTCTGTGTCGCAGGTCTTCGCCTCCCTGTCTACAAAGCTTTGTCCTGCAAAGCTCCAGTGCTCCCCGCTGCAACCAGCTCAGCAGCTGAGCCAAAACCCTCTGACATCGACATCTCGGACCTGGGATCACGCAACTACGCAGCACGCTCAGACTTCTACTGCCTGGTCGCTGAGGACATCTGATTCACACGCTAAAACTCGACACTCTGTAGAGATCGCTGTCGGCACGTCTTTTTTTTGTTTTCTGCATCGTGTAGCCAACTATGTTTCCATTCTGTACAGTGTGTTATTAAAATCAGTGTGTTGCTTTCTGTTTCTACATGCCATAGATGATTTTTAGCATTTTTATTTCATCATTTCATACTGATGTATAACATACTTTGTGAGAAATTGTCTGAAGTATTTCAGGGACGTAAGTGTAATTAAGAGTGTGTGTACAATAAATATTTTATTGATTGCCAATTTACCCTGTTGATCTTTATTTTAGTCTCCAACAGAAGACAGTGTAATGACGGTGTCTTAAGGATTTTCTTTTTTAATTTATAAGCACTCGATCTTCCTTTTATAGTTGGCAGTAAACAAATAGTTGGCAAAGACATAAAAACATACACATGACAGATCACATATCAGTCCAGAGAATCCAGGGAATATGCTTTTTTTCCCAGTCAGGTGAAGGAACGGGACTCCCACACAATATGATTGTTTAGCTAAAGTTTTGCACGTACTGGAAATCAATCACAAGGTTTTCTTCCTTTGTAAATGTTGATGTTCTCTCTCCTCATGGAGGTCCTGCACTGAGGTAAGAGCCTAAATAAGGGTGCAGCAGGGAAGGTCTGGTATCGTTCCTGTCTGAGCAGGAACAAATATGCAAACAGGGTGTGGCTGGCATTTTACAGTGTTGGTGTCAGTCTGTTTCGGCAGCAAATGGTGCTGTGCGCACACGCTAAAGAAACGCGAACAAAATGTAATTTCATTTCCAAATGTTTCTCTTTATTAGATGTTAAATATGCAGATGACACCTCTGCAAAAAGCATCAAACAAAGTGTCTTCTACTGCCCACACAGAAACACAAGGTTACCATTTATGCCACTGAGCAGCAACTGCTGCATTTCAGGGATTTAATTTTTATACAATAGACTTTGCAAAATAGATTTACAGCACAATGGATCCAGGTTTGAAAGACATTTACATCTACAATTTGCCACAGCTAATAGCTAAAATGACAAATACTTGGTTTCATCTGTCCTGCAACAAGTAATCAAGCCACCCCAGCATTAAGCACACACCATTAATTACACCAGAAAAACAGTGATTACTATAACAACATTGCATAAGAATAGACATATGTATAAACAAAATTCCACATTGAATGACACCCCCTCCCCCCCCAGCTGATTTATTTACATCCAAGTTTCTATAAATCTATGGTTTACATTCAAATATAACAGACATCATCCATCTGAAAACTACGAGTACAAAGGACTGCTGTCTATAAAACAAACACATGTCATTTCTATGCAAAAGAAAAAGCAATATTTACAAAAACAAGGCTATCTTGCATCTGAACCGTAAACGAGAGAGACAAAACAGGGAGTTTTGTTAAAACCTAAGGCACAAGTGTCCATCAGATTGTCCATCAACTGCTTTAAAACCTCTGTGACAGAAAATAAATCCCTGATTATACATAAAACGCATACAGTGATCTAACAAAGAGAGTAAATGCTTAAGGTGCAAATATGTGTATTAGAATCCATAAATTCTTGCACTGCATCGATGCCCACTGACATTTCCTTTGGATGGATCCTCCGTTACTTGTGTATTGATATCCATAACATAAATGATTGCAGGTGAAGACAGAGCAGATGTTACCGTGGTATAGATTTCTGCCACTGAGTGCTGGTAGACTTCAGGATTGTCCGCTGTTGTAGAATTGAATTTGTCCCAAGTTACCTCAGCTTTAGATCAATAGCGTTGATTGATACTGTTTCGTGAATCCTTTCTGTAGCACAAAGGTACAAACAAGATGTTATGATATTAAATATACTTCAAAACACAGAAAAACAACCTGCCGTGATCTTAAGATCATGTTTAATCTGTGCTCTTGTACTTACAGTATTACGCAAAATGTACAGTAACGCAATGGAGTGCGTATCTGATTAATAAAATGAAAACTCTAGTCAAAGCCAACATTAAATCATGTTTCCTGTTGTGTGAACAAGTTCATGAAGAAACAAGCTGTACGCCACACCTTGGGTGGTGGGACAAGCTGCGATCTGCAGAAGGCAGTAAAATTACCTTATCCTTCTCAAGCCCTGAACCTGCCTGACTGGATATGTTCGCGTGAGTTTGTGTGTGTGTGTGCGTGCATGTGTGTTTAAAGAGTAGCAGTGTGAGGTGTTAAACGTGTCATCTAACTGAGAGAGTTTTGCAGAGAATGAACAGAGTTCGTCATAGAATTCCCGTCACTCTCACTCTTTCACACTCAGACATAATGTGCATGTACACACAAATGCACACAAGCTGATAAGAATGAGGACGGGGCGGCGAGAAAAGAAACTGTTTTCAATGAATATTCACTTTTGTGTGGACCTAACTCCTTGTTCTTGCTCAAATCAGAGGTCAGGAAACTCTTTAAAATGATTTTTTTAAAGTGTCAAATGCTTGGAAAAAAATAGTAAACTGAAAATGGAAAGATTGGTGTTTGTCTAAATATATGAGGAATAGAATAGAATGCTCTATCTTTGATATATTATTGATTTTTTTCTTGCATGTCATGATTAGAAGTGCAGAGCTCAAAGCCATCTCTTACCGATTGGTACTGTCTGTGCAGCTTCTTGTAATGATACATGTTGGACAGAACTGTGGCTGCTGCTGTGGATGCCTTATTGTTTTCAAGGCTAGAAAAATATTTCATCCAAGGTCATTAAATGATACAAATGACTTCACACAAAAAATTTTGGATAGCAACATTAAAACTGAACATCAGGAGTCTGGAAAAATGTTCCAACCTGCTGCCTCGTGAGTCGTAGATGCCCATCAGTTTTGTCAGGCCATCAAATTGTGCGATGTCTCTGGCTGCACTCATGCTGCCAGTCACCAGGTTATTGAAAACACCGCAGATGTTGACCACCGATTCGCTGGAGGGAAACTTCTGTTTTCCATCCATAGGCAGTTTATCCACCAGTGTGTTCACAGTCTTTTTGGCTAAATAAACCGATACAAATTAGCGTCTTATAAAAAGAAATGTGAAAATCAATTTTGACAATCAACTAATTCTTAAAATGTTGCAAAGACAACGGTTTAGGTTTTTATATTCTGTGTCTTAGAGACATCAACATTTCTACAGAAGGGGAAGAGAAAAAAAAAAAGAAAAAAAGACTGACCCATTTCGTCTTTATTGTCGGTATGGCGGGAAAGGTTTCGTAGGAAACCTGTGAGCGAACGCAGCTCTGCATCTTTGGCAGAACGAGGTACTATATCTAGGATGGTTGGCAGCATGCGTTCTTTGTCCAAAGCCATATCGCTCAGCACCGCAGGCCACTACAAGTTAAAGAGACAGAGCAATTAATGTATGAGATGGACTAATTATAGCTAATTATCAAACAACCTTTGTAAACTTTGCATTGTTAGAGATCTTTTATACCGAGTCCTGCGTCTCTGTGTTGCTTGTGCTTTGATTTGTGATGATGTTATCACTGTGTTACTCAGCACTTTCTTGTAATATGTGTAATGTCCGTAACTGTGATGTCTTTTTTTCAGTTGTACAAGACAAAAAATTTAACTACGGCTGACATTAGTCCCTTATCCTTTGGCCTTGTATGTACCAGCGACTCCTTTGGAAACATTTTTAATGGAATAAGCGGAAAAAGCAGTTTTGGCTTTCTCTGTGTTACAGTGCATCCAAAAAAACTTTTTATTTCATTTTGGTGAGTGAAATTCGACTGTTTTACTTTTCTTTTAGATAATTGGCCCTTATTAAGATAAGATGTACTCTATTCGTCTTTGATCTCTGAACGTCTTTATTGCATTAAACACAACAAACTCTTTATTAATGCAACTTGCATTCCCATCACTCTGGGATGCTGGGTGATGCCACTGTAGCGGTTTACATCTTTTATATACAGTGTATGGTTACTACATTTGAATCCCTGATGAATTTGCTGCTCACCCTTTTGTCTCCAGCTGTGATGTTCTGCAGTGCTCCAGCAGCTGCTTCGCGGGTGTTAGAGTTGGCTTCGCATTTTTTCAGCAATTCATGGTACACCTTCAAAATATCAGGATGCCAGAGCCACTCCATACCATTTGGCGCTTTAGCAACTTGATTTAAAATTTGAAACTGCTTCTTTTTCTGTCAGTCAAAGAAATACAGGAGAAGGCAGAATTAAGATGTGCAGGATGGTCTATGTGCACTTGCTGATGGAGCGATTCTCACACATACTTACAGTTTTGGTTTTTCGGCTCTGAGGTGTAAAGCAGCCGATGGATTCGCCCAGCCCATTGTCCTGATCTCTGTTTGGTTCAATGCGGGCTAAAACAGAAGATGGAAGTTCGCCGTAGAGCTGGTAGGAGAGGTTCCTCAAGATACACACCGAATTCTCCACCCCCTAGAACAGACATACACACATCCAGACAAATAAGTACACAAAGGAAATTAGGCCTGTGTATGATTTTGGACAAAAAAAAACAAAAACAAAAAAAACAATATATATAATATACTGCAACTCAAGTTGTCTTAGGGGAAACTAGACTGTAGGCGTTAAAAACAACAACAACAACAAAAACAAGCCTGTAAGAGGTCATTTATCAGACCAACTTGAGCACTATATATATATTTTAGAAAAGAGATAAAGAGAAGGGTTTCACCTGGAGGACCAGGGTTTGAATCCCACATGAACGCCAACGTCAACACTGACTTACTTTTAGTGCTATTGAAGCATGTGGCAGTGCCTCACCTCCTCTGGTAGGAGGGGCTTAGTAAAAAAATTTGTATTTTATTTTTTGCCTTCTCTGGATTTCTCCTTATTTTTTAGCTATTCACCCACCTTGTCATCGGCTCTGTTTGTTTTGAGGCAGGCCGTGATGTAGTTCACCAAAGACTCCACAAGTCCAATTGTTTCTCTCATCGACCGGCGGGTCTTTTCGTTCACGGAGCTCAAATTCCTAAGAACACAGAAAATAAGCAAGTGATTTCAGAGAACTTCTTCAGGTCAGATTGAGTGTTGTGCACATATAGATTACAGGACTTCTGGCACCAATAAATGCACCATTAAATTAAAGGTAATACGAAACCACAAGATACTCCAAAAACCCACTCATTGGAAATATTAATACAGCAATGCATTAACAGAATAGAGTCAAAGGTAACTGGAGGTTGGAGTAATGCCGGCTCTTGCAAACATCAGCAAAAAAGCGCTGGGTGTGAAAAAACAAGCTTGCCAAATGCAAATGCAGTCATGGGAAAGGAAAAGCATACGCATACATTTTAATCAATCATGTAGCAGCCGCAGACGCAAGACACATAAATGAGGTGCACCTGAGGCATCCCGTGGCGTTGCAGAAGATTTCTGTCTCGGAAGGGGACTCAGGAGGGATTTCTGTGTCTGAATCGGTATGCCCAGTCCGACCCATCTCGTTTTTCGAGAGGGGGGTGAGGATCTTTTGAGTAAGTGTAGAAAGTGTCGCTTTGGCTAGTTTCTCCTTAAGGTTTTCTTTGGATGAAAGGTTCCACAAGATACCTGCACAAATACGGACAAATAAAAACGGGCATTTAGGCATACTATTGCTTCTTTTTTTTGTCATCAGCTTTTCTCAAATAAGATTTCAGGATGTTTTTATTGATTGAGTTCAAGAAGTATGGCAACAGTTAACCAAAATATTGGGGGAAAACTATGTTTTTTCAGGCCAGCAGTGAGTTAAATGAACATTAACCAATTTAAAAC